CTCTCTCTCTCTCTCTCTCTTGTTCTCTCGCTCTCTCGCTCTGTGTGCATGCATGGAAGGCCATGGGTGCATGAAACATGCCACGTGGCGCCAGCAGCAGTCTTCGCTGTCTTTTTTTTTTCTTTTTTCATTGCTTTCAAGTTTCAACTTTCAACCAATAAATTATTGGTGATTGGCGATAACTAAGAATATAACGTCACGATGCGGCCAATGTATTCACAATTTCACAGCGCAAGCGAAATTGCTTAACAGAAATCTCCTGTCGAGATTTATATCACACACAAAAAAAAAAGAAAGCACAGTTCTGGGGCAGTGGGGAGTCCCTTAAACCACCTCTTTACCCGCCTCCTGGAAATTGTCCTCCCTGTGAGTTTGAGCGTGTTTTTATGGGGGCCGACTGTCGGGCCCTGTCCCATAATTTCTGGGTGGCAACTTTGGAATTTTTTTGTGTGCCAAAGAATTCACAGAAAATTCTGAAAATTTGAGGGTCCGTAGATTTAGGTCGTGATCTTTCCAAAAAAAAAATCAGAAAAGTGAAAAAAAAAATAAAAAAATCATTTGCCTGTGAAATAAGCGCCGCGCCAATTTGGCGCATTTCCATATTTTCCACTCTACCATGTGTGGCTGTGGCTAACAGAAAAAACACGGCAACTTTGGTGACTTTTTGTGCTCAGAAGAATTCACAGAAAATTTGAGAAAATTCTAAAAATTTCAGGGTGCGTAGATTAGGAATTATGCTAAACGATAACTCACAACAAGTGACGTAAGGAATCGAATACACTCGAAGAACGAGTAGCAAACAAATAGATGATTGAAACTAAAATGAAAGCGCTCAAAACCACAACATAGCCGTCAATCCCAAAACTAGGTCGTGATCTTTCTAGGGAAACTATCAGAAAAAAAAAAAAAAAAAATCATTTTGCCCGTTAAATAAGCGATGCACCGATTTGGCATACTTCCATTTTTTGCCACTCTGGGACAAGGGCAGGCCCCACACTGACCTACCGGTAGGCCACGTGCCTGTTCGCAAAAACGGCCTACCGGTCCCCGGACTTTCTAAAGGCGGGTAGAAGGGTGGTTTAAGCATTCAGAGGAAATTTGAATGATATCAAACAACATTATAACCTGGAAATTTAAATGATATCAAACAACATTATAACCCCGCGGGAACTCACACGGCCACTTCTTTTTTTTTTCCCCCTTTTCTTTTTTCCATTTCTCAATTTATGTGTGTCATCGTTGCACACAGGGGTCATGCTAATCTTCTCTGTATCGATGCAATTTTAACCGATGTTCCCAAGGGACGCAAGGGCACTTTTTTCAAGTTTTTTGGGCATACTCAAACTGGGACTTTTCTGGATGTTTCTGACAACAGTTATGTGCGAACGGCTCCTTGGGACCGCTGGGACTTTTTTGGCGATACTCAAGGACTTTTTTTTTATGTTTCCTGATGTATTTGACTGCATGTACTGTGATGTACGGCGGAACAGCCTGTTACGGCATATTCAGTAGTATTAGTAGTATGGATACCGTACATCTGGGCCTAAGTCCTCCTCCGTGCAAGCACAGATTCGAACCGGCGACTTCGGCCTCAAGAGCCAAGTCTCTTAACCACTACAGCCAGGACACGGTGTTCAAAAGTGGAATCGTACCGGTCGTGATATCCACCCCACCCCTGCAAGGCTGTAGTGTCCAACTCAACACACACCACACACAACACCCACGGACACGGCAATTCTCGTACACTTCGCTCTGTAGTCAGCACGTAACCCCCGCTTACGGCATATTCACACTGGGACATTTTTTGAATGTGTTTGAGTGGAGTGACGGGCGAAGAGCTCCTTAGGGCATACCCACAGCCGGCAGACGGCTCCTTTGGGCGTACTCACACTGGGAGTTCTTTGGACGTAATCTCACTTCATGGGCTGAGCTCCATGCGTGCGACCATAGCAGTGGCACATGGTGCAGCCCAGTCCGCGTGGTATGATCCACCCGGCATAGTGCCGCCGAACCGGCTTGGCATATACCACTCCGTATAATACCGTCATGTCCGCGTGGCCCGGCCCGATCGGCATCTCCCGCAGTCCCGCCCAATCCACATGGTATGATTCGCCCCATGTGGTGCGACCTGACCCGCATGATGGGGTCACCCACAGCATTTCTTCTTTTTGGGTCTGGGGTCGTGTTGGAGGTCTCTTTGGTTATGGGATTGTGATGTGCGTGGGCACCATCCGCTGCACGTGCTGCTCCCCACAAATAGATTGGAGCTTTGTTTAAACTTTTAACCACCCGTAGTTCTTTTTTTTGTTTTGTTTTAAGCCCAGGGTGTTGTAGAGGCTGGATTATAGACGTATGAGAGTCACCTTCGGCACTCGGCCATGTGGCAGAGCCCCCCCCCTAACCCTATGGGACTCCCTCCCAACCTACCTCTTTTCGTAATTTCTCCCCTCGCACTCCCCCTCCCACCATCCTACCTCAGTGTCTACCACTCAGGATCGCCATCCTCCAGCCTGGGGGTGACCTGACCGAACCGTGGTTGTAGGTACCAGGGTTTAGCCGAGTCCCACACACCCCACTCAGTCGCGATCGAAGCGTATTTGAGCGAGCCTTGTCGCCCGGGCACTTCAGGTGCTAGGTACCAGACGTTTGACTACAAATCCCATAATAGGTGGACCTACCTATTTTGCGTTCCTATCACTTTTTGTGTACACAGCTGTTGTTACTTCCGTTTGTTGCGTTCCTATAGGTTGTTCGCTGTGCACACTGCCACCATTTCTACTTGTTTCAAATTGTTGATATTGAACCGAGCATAGGAGGCAGGCAACCCAAGCAATCATGTAGAGAGCCCCTACCGACACAAGAGCCCTACCAGCACCGGCCATAGACTGTACGAAGTCTCACTCTCATCAACTGTTCCTCGTTCCATGGGCGGTATGTAGGGTCCTAGTTCAGACAGACATCGACCGTAGATTGTACTAAGTCTCACTCTCATCAACCGTTCCTGTTACACGCGCGAGCTGTCCTAAAGGGAGGCCTCATCCTCCTAACCCCTCCTGTGCCTAGTGGCTGACCCCCCAGATCTCCAGCTAGCAATTGGTGCCCCTACTCTAATCTTGCCCCAAGAAACCTACCGACACCGACCACAGTCTGTACTAAGTCTCACTCTCATCAATCCATTTGATGTAGCTCAGTGGTTAGAGCACCGGTTGGACATGGGCATTGTGGTATGAGGTTGCGGGTTCAAAACTCGATTGCAACCTTGCGCATGGACACCGGCAGGGCGTTAGAAATTAGAATGACGCACGGCTGGACACACATCCCCTTGGGCTGACGCATGGTACTATTACAGACACTGCCTGCACACCACCCAAGGGTTGTCCATGGCGTTGTATGTTGGTTGTGGGTTCCGCATGGGTTGCTTGGGGATGTTGGTCTTGGGAGTTCTGTTCATCTCCCCAGTCTGACATATCACACGTTCGTGCCATTTCCGATAGTTTTTCATATGGTAGAGTCATTTGATTACATGTTACGAGGTCACGGGTTTGAGCTTGGTTCGGTCCTTGGGGGGGGTCCTTGTCCAGCTTGCCCCGTTCTCTCAGATTCACAGAGTACACATAGCCTTCGGACATAACATAGAATTACATATCGCCTACGGGCTATATATACACACATAGCCTTCGGACATAACATAGAACTACACATTGGCTATGGGCCTATGGCTACGGGCTACACTCTCGGATTCACAGAGCACACATAGCCTTTGGACATAACCTAGAACTATATATAGCCTACGGGCTACATACACATTCAGCCTCCTGATGAGTCGGTGAAACTCCGACGAAACAGTTTGTCACAGCCCCTCGTTTGTTGTCCTCTTCTCTCTCTCTGCCTACGGTTTTACCGGGCAGTTCTGTTTGTGACGATATATATAGCCTTCGGACATAACATAGAACTACACATAGCCTACGGGCTACATACACAAGTTTCCACACAAGATGCTGTCATACATACAACTATAATCACGCTGGTGGGGTCTAGTCACTGGGTAGGGTCTTTGCCAGTGGGATCTGGCCCTCCGCCTCGCCTCGCCTTGCCTCGCCTCGCCTTGCCTCACCTCGCCTTGCCTCGCCTCGCCTTGCCTCGCCTCGCCTCACCTCGCCTTGTCCAGATTCAGCCAGTTATTCCAATCGTCTTTGCCAGTGGGATCTGGCCCTCCGCCTCGCCTCGCCTTGGTGAAACTCATCTGGCCGTCAAGTTGGCAACCTTTTCTTTTTTTTTTTCTGGGGGGGGGGGGGGGGGGGGGGGAGGGGGAGAACAAAAGCTCCAATGGATTGGTGGGGAGCAGCACGTGCTGGGAACCTTCTTGCAGTGGCTTGGATGTGAAAATGTTCACTCAGGCCTGCGGGCCTAGCTCAGTTGGTAAGGCATGCAAGTGGCATTCAGGAGGTCGTGGGTTCAATCCCCATTGGCCTCACGTACGTGCCTGGGCAAGCTTGGAGTTCTACCAGCTAGAGATAACCCCTTGGCCCCCCAAGCCAGCATTGGCAGGACCTTGGCTGATGTTGTTGGTTGCTATGCAGCGACAATATTGGCCATTACACACCGCCAGGGGGGGGGGTTAGGGGGAGGTGCAGTGACTGGCCATTGCTCGGTGCTAGCACCACGGATTTCCCCCATCGGCAATGCCTGCCCACCCCTCATCACTGTGATGAGGGACTGGCACAACCTTGCTCTTGCACCACTGCTGTGGTGCCAACCTACCCCGTGGGCTAGGGCGAGATCCGGGTTGGTTGGTGTTCCCCCGTACTATACATAGACTAGCGAGAGGATGCGATAGATGAGTACTGGCCAGAAGATGAGATAGATGAGAGAAGAATATAGCTTACTTAAAAGGAAAAAAAAAAAAAGAAGTTCACTCGGTGTCGGGTTGTTGGGATGGTTCTGCCCCCTTGTAGCCCCCTTGCCTCGTTCCCATTACCTCTGTAGTAGTGAGGAAAAGGGAGTTCCCGCAGTCGACTACCGTCTCCACCCGCCTGAATACCCGAATAGAACGCCCGGTCATTATAGTGGTATTTGGATAGTGGTATTTGGGGCAATTTTAAGTCCAGATACAGCTATAATGACCGGGGGGTTCTATTTGTGTGAAGACGGTAGTTTGCATTTAAAAACGGAAATACATCAGACGATCATGCAATTCTGCAGCAGCTGGCTGAGGGGAAGGCAGGCGGGGGAAATAGGGACAGTTCTGTGGGAGTGGAGAGTCAAGGGAGCGCAAGAAGAGAGAATCAGGGACCATCGGCTGGTTTTCCCCGGCCCGTTCCCCCCTCCCGGATTGGATGTCACTTGACCCACCCCCTCCTCACCCCCCCCTCTTGGATTTCCCAGGCCCGTTCCCCCCTCCTCCCTTGTGCAAGGAAAAAGCTCAAGAATCCCCACACTCATGCATCGTCGAGCAAGCAGCTGGTATGGCAGGGATTTAAAAAAGGGAGAGCCCGATCCAGGGGGGAGGGGAAGGGGGAACCAGGCAATTAGGGGATGGCTTGGAATTGAAAAGGTTTTGACACTAAAGAGGTATATCTTACAAGTATATCTATAGATTCTATACTATCTTTTTTTTTTTTTTTTTTTTTTTTTAACCCCCTGAAGTCTTTGCTAGGAGAGGTGATAAGAGCATCCACTCCTAGCAAAAGACCTGGAAGTTTAAGGGGATTAACTGTGCAGGATTAGTAATTTGAGAGCCCTTCATACCACCGCCTCTTCAGTCTGCATCAGACTGCCAGATCACTCGTGTTTCCCTAGCGGCTACTTCCGCCACTACCTTCCATGTGCTGTTGCCTGAGG